AGTGGAGCAGCTCGGCCTGAGCTCATACAACTTGTAAAGCAGCTTTTACCCACTGGTCCGGAGCGGCGGGTGGCACGTGTGTCCCTCGGGGGCACACCGGGGAGAAAGGGGATCCGCACCCGATGAGTGCCACACTTCTTGTGCCTTTCCAGGCCTGCTGGGAGCATCCATCCTGCATGTCATGGGGTGTCTGCGTGTTCCCCGATGTGCTGTGCTGTGGTTGTACCCCCCATGCAGCTCGTTGTGGCCCCCACAGGGATTTTTGTTTAGGCTTTAACTGAAGTCCTGTCTGGGATGATGCTGTGGGGAATGGGGAAGTGGATAATGCTTGCCGTGGGTGCACAGAACAGAGCTGCTCCCATAACGTGGTGGTCACTGATACCACGTTACTCATCGCACCAAGCTGCTCTGATCCTTCACATGCTGTGTTGGGGGCAGAGCGTTGTCACCTTCCCTTGCACAGAGCCTGCGTGTGCCACCCGGAGCCCTGCACAGGGAGCCAGCAGCCCGCAGCCAGGGCAGGGAGGTGATCGTGTCCCCCCCATGCTGCTGTCATCTCTCAGAAGGGGCCTGGTTGGCAGGGCCTTGCCTGCCCTCGGTGCAGCTCAAGTGGCTGGGTGATGGTGAGGGGTCCCTGCAGTTCAGTGTCTGCTTGACACCAGCAGCGCTGTAAGGCCAAAAATGGCACCGACAACCCCCAGCAGCCCATTTTATCCAGAGGGTGTTCGGGCCAGATTCACCCCTGGAGCTGCTCATGGTGGTGACCGTTTCTCCTGCAGGGATCAGAGGAGGGCTTGCTCTGTGGTGCTGGAGCTGTCGGTTCTGCCTGGCAGGTACGTGATGGGGACTGACCACATTCCAGCCGGTTGCTGCTGTGAACTGTAGCTCTTCTCAAAAATCTGTTTTCAGATCATGTACCTTAAAAATGACTTTGTCTTTTTGTTTCAGGAACGATGTCAGACAGTTTCTCTGTAAGTATGGAATCCTTTAAAACAACGTGGGGGTTCTGAGTGTTGCCTCTCTTTGCAGCAGGGACCTTTGGCTGGGGTGGGGACGTGTCTTTGCTAACCTGCCTAACCCCCAAATCCGCCTCCGTTACGTTGGTGTTTACTGGAAACCCATGCCCAGGCACTAACCTCACCCAGCTGCTGGGCAGTGGTTGAGCTCTCACCACTGGTGCATGTTGTAGGCTATGAGAGGTGGACGCTGGAGGACTCAACCTGAACCCAGGACTCACATCACCCCCTTATCGCTCCTCTTCTCCCCTCTGTTCACAGTTAGCTGATGCCTTGTCCACCGGCAACAACCCGAACCCCTCTGCCCCCCAGCCCCAAGGCTGGCCCTCCTGGGGGAACCAGCCACCACCTCCTGGGGGGGTCCCAGCCTACCCTGGCCCTCCAGGACCCTATCCTGGAGCACCAGGACCCTATCCTGGAGGACCAGGGCCATATCCCGGAGGACCAGCAGGACACGGACCGTATCCAGGAGCACCCGGACCATTCCCTGGAGCACCAGCAGGACCAGGGCCGTACCCTGCCCCAGGACAACCACTCAGTGGCCCTGGATTTGGGCCCCCTCATCCACAGGGGGGACCAGCTCCTCCAATGGTAACAGCTCCATTGTTTTACAAGGGTTTCTGCATCTTTACTGCTGAGTTTTGTTTGTCGATAGGAGGGATGTGGGGCTGGCTGTCCCAGGGAGGTGGTATGGGTGGTCACTGCCTCATGGGGTTGTCACACCACAAGCCAGCCTGTGCCAAGCTTCTGGCTTTTAACACATTTTCTGCTAACATCCATCTCCCTTGTCTCCCAGACAGTCCCCTTTGAGCTGTACCTGCAGGCAGGACTCAGCCCTCGGATGCTCATAACCATCACAGGGTCCATCAACCCCAATCCAAGCAGGTACCAAGGGGCGTCAAGCACCAAAGGCAGGGGGAGGGTTCTGTGGGGCACTGCCAGATGGAACACAGCAGCTGAAATTTGCTTTCCGTTCCTGAATCATACCCACCTGGTGTAAGATCAAATATTACACACAATAAATGTCCTGTTATTGCCCAAAAAGGTCTGTGGGGCTTTTTTCCTGCCTTGTTGCTGCTATTTTTGTCAAGCCCAGGGCTTTTGTAGAAAAAAGCAGCAAACCTGTTACTGTCTTTGCAGGTTTTCACTGGATTTCAAGAAAGGGAATGACATTGCCTTCCACTTCAATCCCCGCTTCAATGAAGACAACAGGAAAGTCATCGTCTGCAATTCGATGTTCCACAATCACTGGGGAAAGGAGGAGAGGACAGCTCCAAGATTTCCATTTGAAGCTGGAAAACCCTTCAAGGTGACAGAAACGTGCCCAGCTGGGTCTCTGTGTCTCAACAGCACCTGCATCAGGCGCTGGGGAATTTGGTCAGGGCTGTCTAATAATACTTTCGCATCAGCTCTCAGGGGTGCTTTTAGGGCAGTTGCCCGATGTTCTTTGCTGGCTGTCCAGCACCGAAGGTTCTATGGAACTGCCACTTCTAACCCCTCCTGCAGGTCCAGGTGCCCAGGGTATAACTTCTCGCCACTTCCATTACTCCTGTTTATTATTAGAGCCTCATTATTTATACTGCTGTTGGTCTATAAAGCATTTTCCCTGATAGCACCCAAGCTCCCTTTGTGAGCTTTTCCCTCCTGCAGAATAGGTTAAGATTTGGTGTGAATGCAGCTCTCACTGTGTGGAGAACCACTTACTGAAAGCAGTTATAGTCATGAGGTGACAAACTCTGGGCTAAACCATAGAGGAGGAAGAGCATGGCAGGGCTTTGGTGAAGGCAAAGGTCACCAGTGATGTTTGCAGCTATGAATTGCTGCACCAGCTCATCCTGGGCTGCACTCAGCTAGCAGCAGCAGCCATAAGGCAGTGCCAGCCTGCTCAAGCCTGTGGCTTAAGACAAATCCAGCGGTTGTCATTTGGCTGATGTGCGGGTTTTATTTCAGCTCCAGATCCTTTGTGAGGCAGATCACTTCAAGGTAGCAGTCAACGATGCTCACTTGCTGCAGTACAGCTTCCGTGAGAAGAGGCTGAACGAGATCACCAAACTCTGCATTGCTGGAGACATCACTCTCACCAGCGTCACGCCAACCATGATATAACTATGGTGGTGCAATTTTAATGCAAACTTGATGCTTTTAATATGGCTGTAACCAAAAGTGCCTTCTTACATGAATACTTTGAGGTAATAAAACATACTTTCACAAGTAAAATTTGTGTTCGGTAAGGTGTCAAAAGGCAAAATACCTTTCAGCAAGCTGGGTTCAAAGGTGGAAGTATCTGAATTCTTGCTGTAGAGACAGCACATCACTTTAGCAGAGGATGACGGCTCAGAACAGCTTGATTTGCTGCCCTGTATCCTGGGCTGCATCAAAAGGAGCATGACCAGCAGGTCGAAGGACGTGATCCTGCCCCTCTACTCTGCTCTTGTGAGACCTCACTTGGAGTATTGTGTGCAGTTCTGGTGTCCTCAACATAAAAAGGACATGGAACTGTTGGAACAAGTCCAGAGAAGGGCCACGAGGATGACTGGGGACTGGAGCACCTCCCGTATGAAGAGAGGCTGAGGAAGTTGGGGCTGTTCAGCCTGGAGAAGAGAAGGCTGCGTGTAGACCTCATAGCAGCCTTCCAGTATCTGAAGGCGAGCTACAGGGATGCTAAAGATGGACAGTTCATTAGGGACTGTAGTGATAGGACAAGGGGTAACGGGTTCAAACTTAAACAGGGGAAGCTTAGATTGGATATAAGGAGGAAATTCTTTACTGTAAGGGTGGTGAGGCACTAGAATGGGTTGTGAAGGGAAGTTATGAACGCTCCATCCCTGGCAGTGTTCAAGGCCAGGTTGGACACAGTCATGAGCAACATGGTTTAGTGTGTGGTGCCCCTGGCCATGGCAGGGGGGTTGGAACTGGATATAAGGTCCTTTCTAACACTAACTCTTCTATGATTCACTGATTTGCATGGAGAGTACTTGGGAAAGCAGCCTGTGGTGTTCTGCTGCTGGACCTCTGAGCTCAGGCAGCAACCTTCAAACCCATCTTCTACAAGCACCAGTTAGGGGATGGTCATTTGATGTTTTTTTTTAGCCTCAGCAGCTCTGGTAGGTAGAGCCATTTTTTCACTAAAGGAATCAAAGTAGTGCAGCAAAGGACTGAAGTTCCCCCCCCACCATGGGGAGGAGGAGGTGCACAATCAGGCTGTGAGTGGCTGCTGCATAACTCACAGAAGTACCACCTTGCTAGAGGTGTCCTCTTAAACACTGGAAAACAGGGAAAGCTCGAGAGCCTCTGAGCCTGACCAGAGTGAGGTACTTCAGGAAGGGGCTCAGAGCTAGAGGAAGCAAAAATCTCTTTCCTAGACCATAGCTAGAAAAGTTATATCACACCTCCATTTCAAAGGCATATTCTGCTCATTTGGTGGCTCAGTTCAATGTGCCATGCTTCCTTCTCATGGGAGATCTAAGTTGTACAAGTGTTACATGCTCCATGGAACAGGTCATGAGCCTTGGGCTTTTCTCCCTTCATCACTTCCGTGTGAGTCAAGACCAGTTTCAAGGGTGGGGAGGTTTACTGGCAAATTCACCGCATGACTCAGGCTAGTAAAAAATAAAGTATGTTCCCTTTGCTGTGAGTCATTCTCCTGGTCTTGTCTGCAAAACAAGAACAGTAATAGCCGCCACTAACATTTTAAAGATCTCTTTGACACGGCTCATACTCTTGTAACAGTTGCTTCATTTAGCGATGCCATGTTAACAACAGGCAGAGTGTTGGAATTTCCAGCAGATGTAGTAGCCTAGACAAATACACTTCTAAGATCAGCTTAAGTGTATACATCAGATGTCCAAAATCCCTTGCCCTCACTGTTCAATGCAGTGTTGATGGCTAAACAGAGGAGGAAAGTCATTAAGAGCTACCTGTTTGGAACTATCCATGTTAACAGGAATTTAGTAACAAAGTCGATTCCAGCACAGTAACACCAAGTCACGTTAGCTTCCTCTATTTATTTCAGTGTAATCAGTACACAGCTTCCAGGTTAAAATTCATGTCATACAAGCTCCCCAAGCTGTACTGGCGATGCTTTCTGCTGAGGGATTTGAATTACCTTCATTTGGTTTAAAGTGAAGGCTAGAGGAAGAATGTGTGCATTACACTAAGGTCACCATTACAAGAAGCTGAGTCAGATATTGGTTAAAAATATAGCACTCAACTGTACTCCTAATACGATTGCTCAAATCAAGTATATATAACTGGCATACTCCTTATGCATAAATACATTACAGTCCAGAGAAGAGAATGCACAGCAATAAGATGCAAGGAGAGGCTGAGGTTAGCATGTCAAGTGTTCAGAGAAAGAGGTTAAGAGATTTTCACATGAAAAAAGCAAAGAGAGAATACAACTGAGCTTGAAAGTACTTAAGAGACTCAACAGATAACTGTGTCCTTAAAGAAAATATCCAGTGCCTATTTTAATACATTGCCAGGAAAAGATATTATCTGACTCAGAATTCCTTGTTCTGAGTTTCTACTATTACAAAGCAAGTGGTTGTTAAACACAAAAAAAGACTCCCACAGAATTAAAAAAGACATGCATCAATCCCTGCCACAGCTGCTGCTCAGGCAGTTGTTAACGCACAGAATACCAGAGCCTAAGGGTGCAACAGCATCCTCAGAGCAGTGACCGAGCATGTAACAGTGCTTAGGGAGGTAAAATGTTGAGTTACCTCAGAAGGCATGCACGCGTCAGAAACAGGGCACCAGTACAGCTAGTCTGGTAGGCGTCTCATAATAATTTATGAGGTAAGTAAGGTCAGAATATAGAAGTTTAAAAATGAATAGTTTTAAAGCTTGAAGTAGACAGGCAATACATAGAATTATACAAAACTAAAAATATTTCATGTTGTAGGCAAAATATGCAATCATTGGATACAGCAGGTATAAAACCAGTGAACACCCCACTGCTAATATACAGCAGTACTTACAGTACAGACTGACTGCACTGTAAAACATTATGAAATATTTTTATGAGCTCCACTACAAAGTGCTACAGGCATTCATTCACTCAGACCACAGTTCAAGGGTAACAGATGATTCCAGATACCTGGGGGTTTTGTTGGTATAATTTACATATTTTTAATTTCAAGTTAATTTTCATTTTTCCCCAGAGGAAGAAAATGGAGAAAATACAATAAGGTCATTGAATGCTTCAGCTGCTGCAAACTTCTGGGCTATGGTCTTGACTGGAGTGATGGGAAGCTCAGCATCCAGCACTGGCTGTGGGAGAATGATAAGAGTGTGAAGTAAGTATTGGAGGAACAGTTATCCACTCTACAAAACGGCACTGCAATGACTTATCAAACAAGGTAATAGCAAATTCTACTAACATCATCTGTATAAGCACCAGACCAACAGCAGTTACTGTCAGCCAGCCACTTACATATGCGAGGTGCCTGCCTACCTGAGGCCACTCAAACATCATGGGGCAAAAACTAGCAGAAAATACCTGACCAGGGAACAGGAGCATGCAATTCTCTTGCCTCTCACTCAGTACTATAGACACACTGCAGCTTCAGAACAAGCCACGCATGGATCTGTCAGACCCATGCAGCCACTTAGTAGATGTAAGCTTATTAAACTGTGCTTGCTTCTATAGGATACTGTTACAAAGCAACAGCCACAGGTCAAAACCATGTGCCACTTTAAGTACCATGGCCCTGCGAACAGAAATTTTGCAAGCTTATTTCCAGACATAAGAAGTGAATGTGTGGTCCATTTTGAAGACACTCATTGCTATAATCAGTAATCCATATATTTTAAAGAGGATTTTTCACAAGACCCAAGCAACTCTATGCCCAAATTCTGTTAGCAATTTGAAAGGTTTTGCACACATGCTTTTCCTTATTGAATCTTACTGGCAGCTCTAAAATTTAAATTTAAAGCTATGTAAAAAAAAAAAAGAGGGATGGGACAGACCTGAAAAATTCCAAGAAGGAAGTGGAATGAAAAAGCCAGGCCATTCATTACATTAGTAAATATTTACAAGGGAATTCACAAGAAATACAATTTAAAGGATCAATCTGATAAAAATCAGTCACTTTTCTGTTACAATTATCTTGATTCATCCTACACTCATGTGCAGTAAGGAATAATAGTGCGAGCCCAAACAGGGAGACAGGCTGTTGCTGTGGCTTGTATTTGGCGTAAGTTAAATGAATTGGATTAATAACATCTTAAAGAGTTTGATTTACTCTGGAGGAAAGGTTAACAGTACTGTAGTGTGTAAATTGTCTTAGTCAAATGAACTTGAAGGTCAACTTACTATATCAGAAGGATTTCTCTCAGTAGATGTCAAATTATTGCATGAAACATCTGAAAAATTGGATTATTAAGTTAGTCTGATGCTGCCAAGGCTGAAAAAAAGGTATCATTTTCTGCACTTACTGAACAAAAAAACCAAACCCTCCTCCCATCCCCCAAAAAAACCCCAACCAACCCCTAACTATATTTACTTCCACTTCAAGCCTTTTATATTAGCTTTTTCCTTTACATATCACACAGAAACTACAAGGACAAACCTAGGGGCACTTTTTGCTCAACGTGTAACACCTGTGAAAGTCATACTAGCTAAAGGAGGTTTTGCTAACAGCATACATAGATTAACCAAGCTACAATGACAGTGATTTCAAAGAGTAATATTTAGACTACCATAAAGCTTTAGAATAAACATAAGGCCCCAGCATTATCAAACAAACTACACTAAGCATCTCAAAGATAACCACTGAATCACAGCATGGTTTGGGTTGGAAGGAACCTTAAAGCTCATCCAGTTCCAACCCCCCTGCCACAGGCAGGGACACCTTCCATTAGCCCAGGTTCCTCAAAGCCCTGTCCAACCTGGCCTTATTTTGTCTCCCCCTTTCAGTTAATGCACCTGTTTGATGTGGTTTTGGTTCTCCAGACTGAACAAAGTTAGTCTCTGCGCCATTATCCTTCTCTGGACTGCACATGACAATATCTTGTTGTTCTGCAGCAGATAATACCATCTCTTCTGTGCCATCCATTACTTTTAATTCACTGCTAGAATCCTCCAGCACCTGAAAAACAGGAATTTTCACTGTTCCTAGCCCTCTGAGGGGCTAAGATGTCTGGAGCCACTGTATTTGCTTCTCAGAGAGCCAAAAGGAAAGCATCAGTGAAACCCGGTGGACACTAAAAAGCTCTCTCATTTTCTTTTTGTGTGCAATTTAAAGAAGTTTGTCAGCTCTTGATACAGAAAGCACAAAGTTGAAACAGCAGCCAGAACATTCAAGGGATGTAAGTTTACGGAAAAGAGCATGTCCCTGCTTTGTCAAACCAAGTCCATACATCTAATCTACAGGCTTTATAGACAATTCAGGAGAGACAGGATTTTAACTCTGGACACTGTACAAAGCACAAGCAGGACAAGGCTCACAGCTTAAGACTGTGATCCATTTCAGATGAACTATCTTCCCAAACATCCTTGTAAGCCTGATAATCTCTTTGCGAGTATAAAGGAAGCTCTTCCACATGAACGAAGATTTTGAAGTTCAAGTGCCAAAAATATTCTGAGGATGTTCTTCTGAAGGAAAACCTATCAGCCATACTGGAAGTTATAAATTACCACCATTTTCCCAGAGACATCACCAACAAGCAACTTCTCATTTGATAGGGAATAGATGAAGTAAAAGGTATAAAAACAAATCAGTAATCAAGATTATTTTTTAATACCTATTTTATATACAGGGCAGATGTCTAGGGGGATATAGACAACATAACTGTTGTAATCATGCATAGATTAAATCAAGATACTCTATTTCTGATGAAAGGTAGTAATGGATTAGTGACTGCAGGACACTGGCTTTCACCGAGTATCACAGTACCACCTAAACCAGTGAAGGCACAGTCCTTTTTTCTTATTTTTTAAGGCTACTCAAACACAGGCATATCACCAAGTCCTCAGACATTTCAGGGCATGAATTCCCAATACTTGTATTAGTAACGTTACTCTTGCTATGCCTTTGAAAAGTGTAGCAGCCTACGGACCATGAGGACTAAATGCTACTGCTGCCTTTAGCCATGGTCCCCCAAATGCAAAAGCATTTTAAAGAAAAATTCACACCAGAAAACAGTAGTGGACTTCAAGGAACATTGCTTGCCCAGGTGATGTGTGTCTTCACAGAGCAGTCAACAGGACCTCAAAAAGATAGCTCCCAAAGAGCTAGACAAGATCCCCAGTCTGCAGCAGTCCCTACCTATGTCCATTGAGAAGGAAAAAAAAATCACCAAATGAGGATTTGATCAGAAATCCAAGTTCTAGAACTAATAAAAATAACTTTCTCTTTTTTTTGCTAATTAATAATAAAATATTTAAAGCACATACATGAACTCTGCATGACTTACCTTATTTACCTCTTCTGTGCCAGCAACAGAGCAATGTTCTTCAGCAACTACAGAAATGCTGAAATAGAAGCCAAAATGTTATCATTCTTCTCAATCACCTTCAATCAATCATGTTTTGACTTACCCAATTGATCCTAAGATGTATTATGCCATTATATTTGCTTGTTTGGCACTGGTCAACTATGAATCAAACTTTCTGGGCAAAAAATAAACTTCTACCCCAGCAGCAAAATTACACTTAGGAAAAGCTCTTAGTATTTCCTTGGGGGAGGGAACAGACACAAGGACTTTGCAGCCTTTACCACTAGCAAATTGGAAAGCCACATTTAACGGGTACTAATATTCATTCTTTCAGTGAGAACTATAAATTTACTTGTACAAAGTCAAAAGCTGCCTTAACACATCTACCTTTGTTCAAGAAAACCACCAGGGAGTTTTTCCAGTGGGGGAGTTTTTCCAACAGGAAACTGGTGCATTTTCAAATCTGGTGCTGGGTGGAAGCCTTTGGGCACTGATGGTGTTTGTTCTGCAGTTGTATCCTCAGGGTGATGAAGGGCAGAAGGAATGCCTGGAAACAAAGCTCTACTGGATGATCTTGGAGTTGCCAGTTTTTCAGAAGTCCGCTGGGAAGATCTGCAAGGTGTCTTTGAAAGCAAGCCTGAAAAAAAGCATTTTGTATTTCATTGTTACAGTAGTTTTTAGAAGATGAACTGTTTGTTATCATTCTAAGTAGGAATGCTTTTTTCCTGCTTGCTGAATTGTCTCATATGTATTATGTAGAGAAATTACAAAACTACATTAACTCCAGCTGAGCAATTTAGTAATGACTATTGCTTCACAGAAAGCCTGAAATAGTCAGACTTGCTGTTCCTATTAAGGAATCCATCTGGTGACACCTGTCATTAATTTCCATCTTTTACGTTTAGATAATTTTAGTAGAATTAAAAAGACAGGTTCAGAATTGATATTCTGACAGACTGTCTGCTAGAGCTTGCTTGAACCCGGTGTCGCGCAAAACTTTTCAGGTCTCCTCTACTAACAAGAGGCATACAAAAAGAATCGCTAGTCTTGTGATGAGACAAGAGATCTACACACACACAAAAAAAGGCAAGTTAAAAGTTAACTCTAGCTCAAAAGAACTAGAAATAGGAGAGAAGCAGAACTCCTAATGAGTCAATACATAGATTGAAATGAGAAAGCACTGAAAATAAAGTTATATTTTGAGCACCTGCTAAAACACAAAACCAAACAAAAGCCAACTAAAACCCTACAACTATTAAACATCTTTTATAGCAGACTGGAATTATGTTACAATCTTGTTAACCGTGAACACAGATCACAGGTATACTTCATTTGCAGCTTTGAAGACAGCACTGCAAGATATTTAGTTTGAAAAAAAAAAATAAAAATCCCTACCTGGGAACACTCAAATTGAAGCTTCATTATTAAACAGATGCTGGAAAAAACATGAACTGGCCACTTTAACCTCTCTGTCCAAGCCGAGATTTCATTTTGCCGTAATCACTCAAATCAGTGCATTCATGTAGAACAGCTTACTTTGGATCCCTGATGTAATCAACCACCAGTTAAAATCCTGTGTCCAGCACTGGAGTTGTATCCAGTATAAACAGCATAATTCCTCTCCCCAGTGAGATTGCTTAAACTCTCATCTGTACTTTCAGGTCACCAAAATCATGATTAGGCTCCACCCACCTGGAAAGGTTTTCACAGGGCTTTCAATTGTGAAAAATCCCCCTTCAAAAACCACTTTTTCTGCCTGTGGTAGCTTCTCCTGTTGTGTATGATCAGCAGCTCCATCATGCTTCATTTTATCCCTCATAGCTGCTTTTACAGCAGCAAGCCGGTTTTGGGCTGCAGTTCTTCCAGCTGTTCCCAGCTTTGGTTTAGACACTCTGTTTGTAATAGTCTTTTTCTGAAATTTTAAGAAAGTCTGGATCACATCTGGACATTTCAGACAGATCAATTGCATACAAACATCTACACAAAGCAATTACACACAAACACCTATGCAGCTGCTTGTCACACGCTGCAACAGCAACAGGCAACAGACACGCTAGAAACAAGATCTCTCTTAATCTCTGGAATTTCTTGGTCTAATATTCAGCTATTAAAGTTAGTTTGTGTTGACAATATATTGAGGATTTTTCATGTTGAGTCTGCAGTTCAGAAATACGCCATACAACTTTTTCCTAACGAAAGCAGCGGGATACAGGGACTCCTAGTGGCAGGGAGATAAAGTAACCGCAGGACAGACCCCAGTAAGCCAGGGAAGGAAGTCTCTCCTGACATTCAATTTTTCAAAGGAAGTTTTGTGTCTTGTATTATCTGTAGGGTTCTGACATTTACAGGTAGCTCACAAAGACCTCATTCCCTCCAGTTTCCTATGCCTGGAGTTTCTTACCGACCTTCCTATCAGTTTTATGATTAAACAGTCTCAAGGAACTGGACGGAGTTTAGGTTATGTGAATATGACTTGGTATTCAGTCATTAGAAGAAATTTTATATTCCAAATCAGAAAGTAGATAAAACAGCTTACATCAAAGCTTATCTTGCAATAAGCAACAACTTATTTTGGGAAGTGTCAGATCCATTTGTGCTTAGCAAACTAGCAGTTTAATGCTAGCCAATGGTGCTGTCTTAACAGGACACCAGTGTAATCTCGTACTCACTGCTCAAAACTCGCAGTCACTGCCAAATTACTGTGTGGTTTCCTTTTCAGCTAAGTCAGTGGCAACAAAAGTGGCCCAGATAAGATGTTCTATATCTGAAGGGTAAATTTCTATTCTAAAATTAATAATTTGTCTTACTAACAGAGAGTCAAATGGCTCCCAAACGATTCATTGCTAATTCTTAGTTCTAATCTTCCCAGCTAAAAGAGGCAATTAGCATTACAAACACCAAGTGATATTGAATGCACTTGGAAGATGCAAGGGAGAAAGGATGCTTCTTGACAAAAATTTCACTGAATTTCTAACCATTAACATGTAAAGAAGCCAGATGAGCAAGGCTTTTCCATTTAAGAATAGTCTTACCGCAATAGCATCTTACTAGTTATTTTAGATAACACACTGCTGCAACTTGATGCCTTGGGGACTATTCATACCTTTACAATTGCTTTGCTTGGGACATCAAGTGGTTGCCATTCATTGTTTTGGAGCTTCTTCAGATCATCAAATTTTTTATTCACATCTCTGATCTATAGGACAGCCCAAAAAAGTCCAGGTTTTATTTTCAAGACTTACCAGATTCACATTAGAGCAGTGTTTCATAAAATTAGATAACACACTTAAGCATACTTATAGCATTTAAGTTTTTTTTTAATACAAAAGCAAATTAAACCAACAACAGAGTATTAAGCATTCATACAGTTGACATGAAGGCTATATTAACATACACAAGCTTCGGATTAGATAACAGTATTGGTCTTATTTCTGTAGTTTAAGGTCTGTAGGGAAAGCATAGAATTGTTCAGTAAGATCCAACATCGAAAATTAAGGAGCTGTTTTACAACCTGATCTACTGAACTTAAGCACTTTGACAATTGTCACATTTAAGGAATGCAGAAGAACACATTGCGTAATAGCTTTTATCCAAACAAGCAGAGTCTTCCATTATGTAGGAAACATGCCATGCACACTTGCTTGCTTTTTTAAACTTCTGGCCTTAACAGCTTCCTGATGCAATCTGTACTTGTTTGTAACAAGCAAGCTCTACAGCATTACCTCCTCCCCACATGGTGCAACAGCCTGCTCTTAGGCTTTGTAATGGAGGCACTTGCCTCATTTGCTAGTGAGGTCATACAAGGGTTATTTATGTACAGCAGACCAGCGGCTAAGGTGACAAATCTTTTACATCCTCCCTGAAACTAGGAGGATAAAGAAACTTGAGCTGCTCCCAGATACATAGTAAGCATAAGTAAACCTTGCTTTTTCAAGTTACTTGTTGTAGGAAACTTCCCCTCAAACATCTCTCAAGAAGGTCAAACCCTCACACTTTCTGGAAGGAATTCAAGACCTATGACTAGGATCTTAACACTAAACCCATCTTTGCATTTAACCTAACTAGTTACTAGTTCCATTATTGAATGCTGACTTACCAATATTGTTGATATTGGTAATTTAGAATAATTTATATAATTTAGAATAACTTAGATATATTTAGAATATTTTTGATAATTTAGACTATTATATTTCGTTCTGAAACCAACAGAAGTAACAATAGAGTGACAAGAAGATTTTCTACCACCTAAGCTCACCCCTATAAGAAGTTACTGTAGTTTCTGCATTATTCTCATGCTGAAACATGGAATTCCTACTTTTCAGGTGAACTTCAGAAATGTTCCAAAGCTCTCAGCTTTTGGTCCAGGTAGGCATTGTGACCTCATCCTCATTCCAAATCAGAATAAAACGTGACCACATGCCTTCACTCCAGAGAAAAACAAGATACACAGCACACAAGAAGCCACAACAGATGAACAGGTCTACATATGCTACTATACACCTGTACAGTATAAAATCATGGTATATCAACTGGTAATATTCACTATCAGAAAGTGTTTAGGAAGTACGTTGTTTTTTTTTTACATTAAAAAATAAATCAGAATCTGAATATGCAAGAAAACAAAAACGCTTCTATCCATTGTTTGTAAATAATCCCATCAACTTTCTTCTAGGAGGTTAATATGCAAGTACTTACCTGAAAATTAACCATATCCCAAAATCCATCTAAGTCTGTACATGTCGTTTCTTTTTCACCACGTTTAAATTCACAATTATCCACCAGTCCTTCAAACTGTTGAAATCTTTCTGCAAGGAGCAGTCTTGTCTGACCAGTCGTGGTACGAATAAGATCTTTAGCTAACAGCAACAAGGAAACAAAAAAAGCGTACCTTGGAATAATCCATCATTGCATAGTTGATTTAAATATGTATTTGAAGGGTCTGGAGTTTGGTTATTGTCTGAACTATGTTCATCTATTACAGACCTGCAATACAATTCTGATAGAACAAACTTATCCATTGAACTGCTCTAAACTTGCTTCTTTCAAAATGCTTATCTCTAAGTCTTTAAGATAAGCATTGGTGAGTCAACTTCATTCTCCCAAATGTGAACACTTATTCTACATTAAAACCTAATTTTATTTAAAAAAATAAATCAGCTGGGTTAAAGTTCATACATTTAAATACATTTAAAACTAACAACAGAAAACCTGTTTTGATAGTATCAACCATGTGTCATGTCAAGTACTACACATAAGTTTTAGTATTGGGAGATAAAGCATGCCTTTTTGTCTTGAGGCAGATACAACTTTAAACTCTATTTAACATAACTTTACTCAGTGCTGTAGATTTAGGTGCTATTTTGAGAATATATTCAGATATTCCACCACTTCTAGTGCCTATTACAGCCTAGTCTTACCATCCTCTGGAATGTCCAACTCTAATTTTCCTTCCCACTGGAGGCACTGAGACTCCAGGCTCTGAGTCTCAGACCGAAGAATGTTTCTAAAAATAAAGGGATAATGAAAAAATAAGGTTTTGGAGAATTTTCTAACTGTTGTCACTACTTGTGACTGTTATGATTAGTACCCTTTTGCTTTCAGGGAAGCTATGCCATTAATTTTAGTTTGCTGACTGAGATACTTTTCTACTTCTTTCAGGCTTCTGTTCCTTAGGGCAAGGCGCTAGTCTCCAGAATTTTATATTCTTTACTTGAACTAACAATATAAAAGGGAAGATAGGAATATGTGCCTACTCAGGGTACTACTGACCAAGCATCGTAAGCTGATCTTTACAGGGTGTGTCATTACACAACACACGTCAAGGACTTCCAAATAGACAATGGGGAAGTGAAACAAATTAACACAAACCTGAAATAGGGCACATCATGCTCTTGCTCTCTTATATCATCTGACTTGGTTTCAAGCACTCTTGTATCTGGAGAGATTGGAGCTCTGGAATTTGATTTCTGAATGGAAGTTTTTTCATCCAGTTCACTTGCTGAAAATTATGAAAAGCATTTGTTCAGAATCTGGTGAAAACTAAAAACATTAGAACAATAAACTAAGTGTCAACTTCCTACCTTTTTCTTCTTCCAAACTTGTAGGGGCTTGTTGTTCTTGAATGTCTTTACCAGCAGGTGAAACTGGACTTTTAAAATTAGCCTCTTGTGCCTTAGTTTCACTGGATTTTTTAATTGTAACACTGGAAAAAAAAACAAAAAGACATTTAGAGGGAAGACATTGAGAAACATGACATCAAATATGGCCAAATACACAGAAACTCGCAGTTTGAAAGCAATCCTACACACAATGCTAGAGAACTGAAGGAAATCCTATTAAACTGAATAAATCTGCAGATACATATATGGCACAGTCCCTGATACATGTTGCTGCTCTACTTCTAAAGCATAAACAGAATTATGGATTGTATTGCTTTCTTTGCTGTTGAATTAAGTCCACATTTAAGCTATGTTAGCAACCATGTTGAGCAGGTGCTTCAACATAACAGTTTGCTACACAGGGAATCTCTAACAGAAAGATGACGTTTTGGGTATCATCACAGAGGTTCCCTTGCATTTTAGGCCATTAGAAGAAAGAATCTTACCCTGGTGATTCTGAAAAATCCCAGAAGGCATTAGGTGTCAAAAATGCATTTGCCCTAGAAGGAGTCATGGGTCTAATTTTGTAAGTTTCTAATCCATTTAATGGCTGGAACACAAAGTTTTGAGGCGCAAAAGAATGCATTCTGGGTCTCCTCAGAGCAGAACTGGTTTTGTTTTCCACTGAGGTTTGTTCCTGTTGAATTTCTATTGACACTGGATGTTTAGAATCAGCTGCAGAACCTTTCATCACTGGATCCGGTTGAGTGTTTTTATCCACTTCATGTTCAGAAGGAATTACCTATAACAGCACAAAGAGACAAAGCAAACACTACATTATCGAATCAATTAAGTGCTTACTATAGGCTTGGGCTGAATTTTAACATGACTGAAAGCCATTAGGAAGGGAACAGTTTCAGGTAACTCGCTTTCTGCAATAGCATGCATGTATAGAAGTCATGATTTACCAATAGGCCCAACTGGATTTGACACCTGCAAATCATTCTAGCAGCAGGGGTAGCACTTCGCTACAAGGAACACAACAATCCACTGAAGGGGCTAAAGCAGCAGAACACCTCACCTATGAAAACAGTAATTAAAATCAGCAAATGCTTGATCCCACTGCTAGAAAAAAAATGCTTTAAGGTGATAAGCTCCTCAAGAGCAGAACGACTAGCTCCAAATCAAACTATGCCTGTTGAATAATCACAGTTTATACACATACTCTAATCCAAAGACCAAAGAACAAGCTAAAATAAGCTGACAACTGAGGAATGCAGACCAAGACAAGTGCAGTTAGGACCACAGAATGTCATTAAAAGAGGAGAAAAAGTTAATCAATAAATTGAATCCACATTCCTATGAAATGAACAACCAGATAGTCATACAGAACACACTTCTGAGATACCTATATTGAGATATTGTAGCTCAAACCAGCCAAAAGAACTTGGATTGTTTTTCAAGAAAATATATGTCTTCAATCCACTGAAAGTCTTGGCTCTACTTTAGATACCCCTACTTGAAATGTAAGCCTTGAATTCAATTTTTAACTCACTTCTAATGAGATGACTGAGGTTACAGCAAGAGTTTACCAACTGGCAGCACAAACCAACTCCTGCCTGTAAAGAGGTACTCATCTAAGCAAGGGTGTAAGCGCCTCTTACCTCCTGTCAATGTCTGTACATGACTGCACCAGTTTCAAGACCATGCTAGAGCACAGCCACAGTTATGGAAACAGGAGCAGAGATGGGAGACATGAGGTAAGAGGCAATAGTGGAGTGCAAAGAAGGAGAAAACTCCTTGATAGTTCTCATACACAATGGTCAGCTCATGAAGGCATGAGAGCTATAATGAATTCAAATACTGCTGTCCCTATGTAAAGGAAAAAAAGTTTTTATTACAGCAGTGTCACTAAGAACCACAATGACTGCCTTTAATTATGATAAATCATGTCATAAATCCTATCTACCTTGCAGCAGAGAACATTCCCAGCTTTATTTTTTGGTGGTTCAAAACCTAAACATGTACTTACTTCTCAGCTTCTGGAGTATTGTATCTTTAACTGAGCAGGGAAAGGATACATCCAGAGTTATGTTTCAAGAAGGAATGAACTGCACAAAAATTACAAATGCTAGATAAAACCAGCAGGTTTTGTGGATTGTTTTTGTGTATATGTTGTGGTTTTTTTTTAACTAGCTAAAACATCAGACATGAGATATGTCATGTAAGAATCTATCTAATTCAATTCATTGTCCAGATCTTGATTTGTAATCAAGTCACATGTAAGCACTACAGCTGATCTTAATTTTAAAAATATACCATAATAAAAGACATACAGCTTCTTCCCAAAAATCTAGCTTATTAGTGAATTTATTACTTGTTTGAACACAACCATGTTTGAGCTACAATTACGTTGTTATTACTCTTAAATCAGTTTTACTGCTTTTCCATTTCAAATGGTAAAAGACCTACCTCTGTGATGCCAGGTTTGACTGTTTTCTTCTGCTTTCTTGCATTTGCTGTCTTCTTTTGTGACTGGTTACCTAGAATGAGAGAAACTCCCAAAGGTCAAAAAGGCATCTGATTAATATAATTTCTTTCTCTCAAGATTGCCATAAAAGTCCAGTGGCTAAAGACAGGGAGAGACTGCTTTGTTTTTTGAGGGGGATGTGGCTAGAGGGCAGACACCTGACTGCATAAGTTCATTCAAAAGAAAACCCAGCCTAGGATTTAATAACCTATTAAGAGATGTATCACCTAGAAAGGAAAACAGATGCATTAAGTCATTAGGCTTTAGATGTTTTCTTATACAAAAGTCATCTTAAGTCCTTAAATGCAGAAAAGACAGCATCAAGCCAAATAGAGTTCAGATTTTTAATTTCTATATGGCATAGGATCCATTGGCTAATCGAAACTGATACTACAAAAGCTGTGCTTTTAGCCTAGGGGTTAACTTCTGTCACATATATAACAAGGAACACTGCAAAACATTCTAAATATCCTGAAAGCCAGAATATATACTAAAAATTTACCCTTCAGTAGCCATCATGTTCCTCTATTCTAGTAAACAGGCAAACATGGATGAAGAAATATTCCTGACCTGAAGAATACAAGCTCTCATCTCTTCCAGAGGTATCTGTTCCTGATCACAGACTTAATAACCCTACAGCATTAAGCAGTGATACACTGAACTGGCAAATCTTTACCAGTTCTCATTTTGTTCTTTCAGGTTGAGATTACCATATGGATACTGATGCTCTACACTGACAGATTTTATGGGAAGCTGTCCAATGTTAATTTCAACATCTTGATTTAAATACTGCAATAAGGCTCCAGATGAGAGTTTAAGTGATACAGTATTTAGTCCTTTTCTTACATGATGATTTGGCATGATTTACATACAATTTATTCAAAAGAGATAGTTACACTGCAGAACATAGTATGCTAAAACAGTTCAGAACAAACTGATATTTATCTCTACAGCACAACAGAGTGAGATATGAGCAAAACCCTAAAGACAAAGCTCTCAGTATATAATTTGACAGTGAGCCTAACAGCAGCATATAAATACGCACATTGTTTCCACTGTTCACTTATCCAGTACTATATGGTATCTCTTTACAGCACACTATTCCAAACACATGTTAGGCTTGAGCCACACAAGCAGGACTAGATTCACTACCTCACTTACCAGTAGTAGCCTCAGTAGCTGTCGTTTTCTGCATCTGCCTAGCTGCAGAGGCTGCTGCTCTGGTGATTCTTACATTTGAGGCTGTCTGGACTGCAGTCTGCAACACTAGGAAATATTAATTCCAGAGATTGCAAGCTTAATAAGGAGCTGCACTCAAGTAATAAAACAGAAAGTTTATATTTTACAGAAATCAGAGAAGTGCAGTAGCAATTATCAGTTGCACTAGTTTGCCAGAATCAACAAAGTTGGGTTGTTTTTTTTTTGTCAGTTCAGTGCAACCAGTGCTAGCAATGCTCTAAAGGTCCTTGATAGAAGGTGTTTTTGTTGTGTAGTAGCACCTCCAGGACCATCAAGGTACCAGTGTGCTTGATGCACGTACAAAGCTTAAGGAACCCTTCTCAAAGTTCCCTGCAATCAGAATCAACATAATCTCCACTTTAGAGATCACGCTTTCTAGAGTAATAACTTGTCACAGTTATTTGCACAACTGGAAGCTTAAGGAGACCATCTGTGTAACACAGCGATGCTCTGGTCATTATATCAAAGTATTGTAATGTCTGAATTTAATCTAGTCTAACAAAGTATTCTTCCGACAAAACATTTCAGGGTCAATTTATAAAATACGACAAATCCATGCACTGTATTACCCATCTTAAAAAATTCCATCTTTGTATTTTAGTAATGTTTTAATATCCTTCAAAATGATAGCATCCTACTGCACAGAAAAATTTAACAGGAGCTCTTTATTTCATACCCTCCCTTTCTACATCTGCCTGAAACCTAATAGCCTTACTTGGTCAATCCTATTCATGTTTTTAATATCAAACTGCAATTCCATGGAAGCTAGAATGACAAGTTGGGGAAAAAAAATTACCAGATATATAACATTTGATTTAACCAGACATTTACTTCCATAACATTTTTATACCAGTGTTTAAATACATAACATGCATTCTTGATTCAGCACAAAAGGAATAATCAAGTCTACTGGATGAAAATTGTTCAAATGTTACTGTTTCAATTGTTATATCAAACACTGATAACAGATCTTTTCAGTATTCACTGAAGGCATTACTGAAATTTACTTAAAAGTCTGCTGCTTGCCGATTTAATTGAATTAGTGATGCATAAGTGATTTAACTCTGAATTACTGAGCATCGTGCATTAACGTCAATATTCCACATGACTTCGCCTGATCTACTTAAGGCACAGACATCATTGCTCTATCAGGAAGTATTTCTAATCAAAAGTATTCCACTCCCTGAAAGGTGGCATGGGTTGTTTTTTTGTTGCTGTTTTCTTATGAAATATATGTAATTGTCACATAGAAAGTGACAGATATAGAAGGGGCTCTTGTAAAATAGGAAAATGCAAGATTGTAAAATTTACTGAAGAGACAATCACATCCAGTTGCACCAGTGTACATCAGAGGTTTGGGCTGTTGTCTCCAACATTCTGTGCTAATGTGTTTTACCATTGGGCTATCCTTTCCCAGTGCTGAGTTACACAAGCAGTTCCATTTAGACACCACAAACAGCATATTTACTGTATAGACAGAAGGTGACCTCACTGAAAATATTTACAGCTCATGGAGTGAGCTATTTTTCAGGCCACCCACAATACCAAGGAAAATTCATATTTTCTTATATCAGCTAGCCTTCATCTTCCCAGGTGAAGTCCCTTGCTCTTCTGTAACAGCAGCAGTTACATACAGAAGTGATAAACTTCTCAGAGACAAACAGAAAGCTCTGAAAAGTTCCAGATGGTAAAGCAGCTAGCAGTCATGCAATCCAGACTACCGACTTCTCCCGCTCCTAGGGTGAATAATCAGTAACCAGGACATTCCATTTCCTACAGCCTACAGAAGCAACAAGTACACATGATACTTAGAGCCACACACTTTATAATCTGCCAGCTGCTGCCCTTGTCATAGTTGATAGGAAGAGCAGTCCTAAGAACTTTTTGTCTCCTATGGACAAAAATGTACTGCAGATCTTAACTGAAGATGTTCCTTGCCTCCCTCCCATAATGTCACAACTACTGACTCAGGAAAAAAACCCAGAGGTGTCCTTCTTATGGATTCAGGTGTAGGGATCATACTACTTTCATACCTTTTGCTTTTTCACCAGCTTTGTCTGTACTCGTCTGTTGACATCCTGCTTGCATAGGGCGCACTTTATGCCCGTTGGCAGAGACCTACAAGTAGACAGTATTTTGCTAAGTATTAGACTTCTAGAAATGAAGCAGCTTAATTTCTTTCCTCATCTTTCTATCCTAGGCTCCAGTAAAACAAATGGTTATACAATTTGGCACAAAAGTAAAAAAAAGTAAAGCTAAAACAGCTCAGTTTAGACATGTGTTAACATGTATTATACAGCTAGTTAAGAATTTGCCAGAAAAAGAATGAAGAAAAATATTTAAGACACATTTTCAGCTTACTGTGAAACTAGGTGTCAATTACTGTCACATCCTAGTAAATGTGTTTTAAAAATCAGTTTTCAGAAAAAAAGCCCAGTATTGATTCAGTTGTCCCTTTGTAATGTTATGACTGGAAACTCTTAAACTACATTCAAGTTATACAAAGGGTACAGTTAGAAAGGACCTTAAGATTATTCAGTTCCAACCCCCCTGCTATGGGCAGGGATGCCTCACAGTAGACCATGTCGCCCAAGGTTCTGTCCAACCTGGCTTTTAACGCTGCTAGGGATGGAGCATTTACCACTTCTTTGGGCAACCTGCTCCAGCACCTCACCACCCTCACAGTAAAGAACTTTTTCCTTGTATCTAACCTCAACTTACTCTGTTTTAGTTTAAGTCCATTACTGCTTGTCATATAATTTTTGTAAGTTTGTTTCTTTTAAGTTCTGGAAGGCAAGATTGCTAGATTTGAAATACAGCTTCTTTTACAGATTACTGCTGGCGAAATTCCCCAACAAAACCTACTTTTTATACAACTAATAGCAGAAGGGACTGCCAAGATTAACAGTAAAAATATGCCAACACTGAAATAATTTTGGAGTGAAGAATTAACTGCATTCACGACAGACTTTCTGCATTCCAGGGAGATGCACTGGCTCTCCAAATCGAAACCAAAGTATGTAACTTCAGTCTCACTACTGCCTCAATGCATATCTGCAGTCCTTGCTGACTACAATACTTTGTATTGAAAAACCTGATCCAGAAGATCTGTGCACTCTTCTCAGTACTGACCTAATCAAACTCCCTCTACTTCAGATCAGCTGATCTAATTTATCTTTCTTACCAGGAAAACCTCCTTAGGGACAGCTCTCAACTTTAAGCATACAACCTTCAGTTATGGTCTGAAGAATAATTGCACACTTTTCTCTAAATTAATCTGAAATTTATATAGAAAACAAACCATAGAGTGCTTAAATGCAGTTGGTATCACAGTTATTTCTTCTTGGTTCTTGGCCTTTGATCGAGTAATCCTCCCAGAGAAAGCAGGAGCTGCCTAGAAACATCCCCAAGGAAACAGGAGTTAACATAATCCTTATCCCCCACCCTATCATTGTCAGAGTAAGCAAAAAGTTCAAGTGTTAAAAGCAACATGCCTGTGCAGAATGTGTCAAGTGTGTAATGTGAAAACTTTCAGTCGAGTGAATTAAATAGGAACAAGTTACCAGTTCTAAAATAACTTAGTTGTTTCATTTGTGGATGAATCATTCCAGTTTTGAAGTGATAACATAGTCATAAATACAAAAATCAACATTTCACTAGTACTATTTCCAGCTTTGTTAAAAAACAAACACTAAAGAGCCAAATCACACCCTTATTGTTTCTTCTTATAAAATAAAGTATTTATGAAGTATTTACAAAATAAACTGTTTGGCATAACATACACATCATTTTGTGTACAAATAGAAATGTTAATATCTTGTACCACATATACTTCATTTATATATATATTTAATATTACTCTTATTACCTTTTCTCTCTGCTTCACTATCACTGGATCTTCAGGTACAAATGAGAGAAAACCTGGCGCAGTTGGTCTATATAACCCAACTTTAAACACGCCCTTCTTTGCTTTCTCTCTCTGCTCTCTCAGTTTTCGAAGTTCCTTTTCTTCTTTATAGCGCTGGAGCATTTCCTTGCGTTCATTAATCCTCTTGGAGGCTGCATTTGCAGCTTGTTCTGAAGCAAAGATGGAAGACAGGCACATTACAAAATCTTGGAGATATTTATGAGCCAACAATAAGCATATGACAGACACCAGTTAAATGTTAGATGAAAATTTAGATTTGAGTTTTTCAATTCTTGAATGACAAAGCGACTTCCCATTGATTATTAATAGCAAAACAGCATTCTTCCTTTAGCTGCTGCAGACCAGACAGAGCAAAGCCTTGCTTATATCACCAGAGCAGTGAGGAGGATAAAGCTGTATTAAGACTTCATTTTCTTAGAAAAACTGATAGTCATTTTTTTAATCCTAAACCTTTTCTTCAAATTAAAGCATTGACCACAATTAGGTCCCTGTGATAATGTTACTAAATCTACCTAAAACATTGCTAATGATTTAAAAAAGGTTTCTAAGATTTTTAAAAGTTTTTACTTACTCTGTTTGACACTGCTGTCCTCTTGAGAACATGTTTCACTCCTCTCCTTTAGTTGAGGATTTCCCTTCTCTCTTGAGAGCTGAATATTGACATCTGCCAATCCAAAGTGTCTGCCTTTTTCAAACAACTTGTGTCTGTTCTCCTTCTGAAGCATTGATTTTCTACGTGCCACTTTTGTTCTGAGGGCTTCTGTACTGAGATCCTTTTTGTATCGACTGGCAAACTGGGAGGTAGCAGCCATCTCAATGACCCTGGACAAAACCCATAATGATTAGGAAAAAAACTGTTATGGTTTGTTTTGCTCTTTTCATTCAAGTTTGCATGTTACAAAAAAAAAGCCATGGGTTCTTTGAATTGGGTATGTACCAGAAAAATTGCAAATGACAATTTCAGTAATGACTCTGACTACCTCTACTGTAGTTCATAGGTCACATTTGCCATGCTTTATATCCAAGTAATTAAGAAAGGTTAATTCATGAGGATCTCCAGTAATAATTTTTGAACTGATCTGGTTAGTATTCCCCACTGTATTACAGGAATCCATGAAGAAAACGATCAGAGGAATATATCTCTACTACCTAACTTCTAGAAGAATCAGGCTTTCTGATCCCATTGGATGAATGTCACTCCTAAAAGCAGCAGTTAACATCAAGCCTCTACACCCATCCTTTGTGGGCTTTCAGAATGAATTCCCGAAGTTTACCTTAACCATGTACACTAATGGTACTTTCAAAGTGTATGTGCAATTTTTGATTTAGTGCCTTGAGGGAAGGTAATGTAACCTGTATGCACAGAATACACATTGTTTTCTACCAGGCAAGCTCACAGAAAGCTGCATTTGCTTTCAACATGGATAAATATTTAAAACATTTAAAGGATTTTTCTGCTCTACTTTCTACTTTGAACAACTTTTTCCTAGCTATTGTGGTATAAATGCACTTAAGGCCTTCTCACATGAATAAGCCTCAACAACAAGTGATTTCAGTATGTAATCCTGCAGAAGAATTGATCTGAAGCTTGAAGGTGGCAGATATAAGTAAAGATACAGAGAGAGATGCCCACAAAGGTAGTATCATCTCACATCCTAGGTCAGCAAAACCAATACAAGAGATTAACCATGATCCCTTTGGGCTCATTAAAATTGTATGGCATGTTCCATGCCCTAAGCATCTCTTTAGGACGAAAAAAACTGTCTACTTTTCTTTCCAGGCTACGTTTTTTGAGTAGTACCTTGCCCAAACAGGAGTCTAGAGTCATATCTTAGAATCACGGAATGGTCTGGGTTGGAAGGGGCCTTAAAGCTCATCCAGTTTCAACCCCCTGCCACAGGCAGGGATACCTTCTGCTAGACTAGGTTTCTCCAAGCCCCATCCAACCTGCCCTTGAACACTGTCAGGGACAGGGCAGCCACATTAGTTAGACTTTAAATTAGCACAAATTCAAGACTAGTAGCAGGAAAGGGACAAAGGACTTAACGTAAAACCAAGGATTTGTGACCAGCTAGCATAACCTCTCAAAATTAAAGTTGAAAATCTATAGGATTGATTTTTATACATATATGTCTGCGCATATATATATTTATGTATATAAATAAATAAAAACAAGGGAAAATACCTACTTTTGACCAACATCACCACAAGCACCAAAGGACTAATACAGACATGAAATACGTTTAGATACCGAGTTTACATTTTTTAACCTGAATAGCGACAAAATAGAACTATTTTTAAAGCAGGAACCCAGCAAGTTTAGGGGCCGAACAGGGTCTAGACTCAACGGTTTTGCGACGGGGGTCACGACAAACAGCACGCCATCCTCCATCCAGCCCCCGCTTCCCACCGCAGCTCCTGGATGCCACCGCACGTCTTCCCCTCAGCCCCTTCCCCGCCACCACCCCACCATGTTTTCAGGCCAGCTCAGAGAAAAGACATCGCTGCTGGGCCCCCACGTCCCGCTCCCGAAGCCCCGCCATACCTTGGGCCGACACTGCTCTCAACACCCACAGAGCATCCTCTCTCGGCCCTCACTTTCAAATCTCACCTGACAACGCTCATTGGCAAGCCCAAGCCAATCCACAAGCTCTCATTGGCCCAATCATACCAACCGTTAATGGGCAGAGCCGCATATTCTAGATGCTTATTGGCCCCTCGTGATCGCCACGGCTGATCTTTATTGGCTGCACTTAGCATTTTCGCCCTCGCACTTGCCGCTTATTGGCTGGAGGGATGAGGAAGGCGAGGTTTCTGTCTGGCGTCCCGCCTGCGGCGGGGGAGCTGTTTTAAGATGGCAGAGGGGCGAGGTGAGGTGGTGGTCTGGTGCCTCATGCTCCGCGAGGATTCGGGGCAGGGTGAGGGTTTCGCTCCGTCCTGTCTTCCCGGCGCCCAGGCAGGTCTGTCTGTATCTCGGTGCCGTCCTGTGCCGCCGCCTGAGGAACCGAAGCCGGGTCTGCCCAGGCTTTAGGCAACGTAGGGTTGTCGAGCCTTTGCCACACCAACTCTCTCTTTAAGTCCTGTGCTCGTATCGTACCAACCTGGCGTTTTGCTGTGGTGAATTGTGTTTAATGCGACTCTGGTCTGCATCGCTCTGCGTTTGTTTATCAGCAAAATTAAAATGTAAAAACGCTATTGAGGGAATCAACCGCTTGGTGGCACTGCAAAAATGTAGACAGCGTTTGAAATGAAGTGGTGTCAAACAGGAAATTGCTGAGCAGCAGGCGCTGGGGAAACGGGAGGAGCAAACCTTCTTACAGCCTACAAATGCAGGATCTTTACACGGCATTACAGTGAAACGTCAGTAAATTTTTACATAAACGCGATTACAGTGGATGGAGACAGTAATGAGTGGATTAAGAGAGCAGAGCGGTCTGCCTTGAACCACTGGAGGCTCTCTCTGTCCCTCACAGACTGCAGCAGTTAGAGAAGTGTTTCCCCTCCGACTCCCGGTAGGGACTGCCAGGGGTGACAGCAAAAGATTCGCAAACATCGACCATCCGGACTAATCCTACAATCACTGATTTACTGCAGGACAATGAAAGATGAGTATGGAGGTTATTAAGTGCTGCCAGGTTCCCTTGTGGCATGCAAAAGATCCAGCTAAACAACAGAACTACAGGAGTTTGTAGACTCTGCCCACAGAGTTCAATCCAATGCAGTCCTCAGTGTTTGCTGATATTTGTTACTCCCCTTTTTCTCCCAAATGGGTGGAATTTGAGGGCAGTCAGCAGTTCTACCTTAGAATATCAGGTTGTAGTCCAGTAATGTGAACCATACTGAAGCACAAGTTTTAGGAGAAAAAAATTATTTTAGGAGTGTTTTCCAAGCAAAAATCATTTTCTCTTATTGTTTACCTATATATGAAGGATTCCTTCATGCTGAAACAATATTTGTCTCTTCCTTGGAGCACCTAGACCAGCACATTTGCTCATTTCCACTCATGGATGTCGATACTGAATTTAGGAAGCATGGCTGCACTTGTAGCCAGGGCTTTAATCTCACTAGCTCAAGTAACATCAGGGATGACACACCTTCAGGGTGGACAGGTAACCCAAGTAGGTAGCTCAGGTCTTTGGCAGGCTCAGGCTCTGCTGTGCACCTTCATGGGTTGTTACTTGAGCTAGTGAGGTTAAAGACAATTTACTTAGCATACTGCAGTACCACCTTCCACTAACACTATCTAGGTCACAGTAAGGGTCTTGACGTTTTTGAGTAATGCTATGATTTTAAAGTATTGCAGTGTCACTTTATGATAACATGTGGTGTGTGCTTTTCAACCAAATTCCTGATTGCTACTGATTTTATTGTGTTAAGAGGAATAAACATATTACCATTTCATAGAGACAAACAAGCAATATAAATATACAAACTCATTATCCTATGAAGATATTATACATGCCTGGAAGGTTAAACCCATTTTCTTACAGTCCTGATGATTTTATGATAACATGCTTACATTTTGCCCATTGAAGCTTTGAGAACTAATTTGACTATCTGTTTCTTGGCAATACAACTGTCATTATCAGATACATTTTATACCGAGGAGATGGTTATGTGGAAATCTGCTGACTTGCTCTTTCTACTCTTCATTTGTTCACATGGGACATTGTTTTTTGTGAGTGTGTTTCTTCCCACCCTTGCATAAATGCACCTTACTGAAGAATAATATGGAGTGTGTAGGTAAACCTATCCCCAAATTTAGCCCTTAAATAATTACATTTCTGAATATATTTTTGGTGAATGGAATTATAAAGCTGTAGCCCACAGCAAGACATACTTGTCACTTGCATGGAGTCAAAGAAAACCCCCTGTAGCAAACTCCAGTAAGTGGAGTGCAGCTTGATGCTGCAGAGGGCACAGAATACACCTCTCACCAAGCAATTCATATCCTCTTGATCAAGAGTGGTGCAGCAAAACCATTAAGGGCTATTCCCACTAACTTTTGCTTATGCTTTCCTTAAGTGGTCACTGGTTTAAAAAAAAAAGACCAATTCTAGGTGTGGGAAATAGTTAAATTCCTGTCTTGCAACAACTAGGAAACACAGTTAAGCCTTCTGCTGCAATTTCTTGCTCTGTTCTTTGGGTTTCATTTGCACTGTAGCAATTTTTTAATGGGACTATGAGACTGCCACCCACCAACACCCTAATGCCTCAGACTGTAGCCTGGAACAAGGGAATGGTCCAAGCAAGTGGGACAGATAGACATTTGGACTCTCACTAGGATGACCTTGGAGAGCATCTTCCCTTTCTTGGATATTTGCTCCACCACCTAGATAAGCACACAAATGAGTGACATCACATTCAAACCCTGCAGTCCACGGCGTTAAAAAGAAATTGGTGACATTGCTCTGTTCTTTCAAAAAGACCCCTAAACCCTCTATGTGTGGGCCCAGGATCCAATGCTGATGGAAACCCCTACATCTGGAGCAAGTCTAAACCATCCCTGTTTGATGTCTCTGCTCAGGAGATGGGAGTTTCCACTCACCCTTGGGAGGTGTCTCACACTCTCCTGGCTATAAATAGAAAGACAAGGTACCTGACTCTGGGTATAATATTGCACTCTGTCAGCCTGATCCCTAGTTGCTAGATGTTGTAGCACATTTATAAGCTCCCAGCTTTCACTGGAGACAGCCTAAAATGCAAACTAGCAACTTTTTAATGTAAAATACAGTTGGAAACAAAGCCTGAGTAGTTTTTATCTCAGCATATCTTTACATCCTGTGTTATTTATGGTGGATTTACACTGAGTGTTCACTGCTGTTA